TGGTTTTGTATGAGATTTGACTTTTTCATTAAAGAGCTTCTTTTATAATAGACACTAAGGGCTGGCATTGTGTCACGAAAGGCAATATTTCTTTTTTTCCTTGTTGTTTTGTTTCAGGAGAGCTGCCTTTCTGTGAGTTTTACTTCTAATAGCAATTTTTCTTTCAAAATTGTGTGGCTAGCCTCTGTCCATCAAGCGCATTTGAAATCTGAAATACTTAGTCCTCAGAGTAGTTTGTTCGTTGGATTCTCAAGGCTTCTCGTTTGTGCAATAACCGCTTTTAATTAACAATTTATGTTGGTGGATGATAAGAGGTGAAAATGTATATACTGCAAAGCGGTTTCCGTTTGAAATGCGTCTTTACATCAAGGATAGCTTTTTCTCATTTTTCGTTGAATGTTGTGCCTTGGTATACAACTGTTTCTGAAAAGAATGTCTCATTTTGAGATATTACGGCCGTTAATTTCATAGTAGGGTGATGTAAGTTTACTTGTTCCGCGAAGAAAGCTACGATGTCTGGTTTACTTATGTCCCATATAGGGAAAAATGTCATTGTCATCTATGTAGCGTTTTCAAACAGTTGGTTTAATGGTTTAAAGACGGTGTTTGCTTAATTAAACTTTGTGTTTCAATATATGCCATGAAAATGTTGGAAAGAAAACTGCTGTCTTTGTGCCCATCGCGGTACCGTGGATCTGTACTCACCGCCGTAGCCAGTATGAGGCGAACCGAGGCACTCGCCTCGGTAAAATTTTACCAAATTGACAGCTAAAAATAAAAAAAATAGTCTGACTATTATAATCTTCTAAAGTATGCCGACTAAAGCATGTACGGACCGTGTGTTCGCCTCGGTTGTAGTTTCTTCCTGGCTACGGCCCTGGTACTGATAGTGCTTTCCATTAAACGGGAAAGAATTTTCTTTGAGGATTAATCTAAGCATTTCTCGGACCGAAACAAGAAACGTTCGGTTTTTTCACCTTTGTCGTTTCAATAAAATTTATAAAGTCGGTAGCATCTTTACGACTTTGCGATTTTGATATTTTTTTGATCGGCTGTAGCAATGTACCTGTATATAAAAAAAAAAGGAAATTCTTTCCGTTAGGCCATGTGATGAGTCATAAATTTGAAGAGGTTACTTCCTTCCTAGAAAAAAATGCAAAATGCTCTTTTTTCTGGAAACAAATATTGATAATATCAGCCATGTCGGTAGTCGGTTATATTTTTCCTGTCGGTAGTCGGTAATTTTTTAATCATTTTGTCGGTAGTCAGTAAAATTTTTTGCCCATTGTCGCTAGTCGGTTAACCCCATTCACACCCTCTTCTAAGTTTTCTGATATTAAAGAACTTTCCTGTCGGCGTTTACTTGACATGCATAATTTCGTAATTCGTGGTTTTTGAAAGGAAGTCATCCTCGCACATGCGTCAAAAAATCATGTCAAACCTCACTCGTGTTTGCGGAAAAACGCAGCCCTTGCAAAGCTGGATCATTTCTGATATTTTTCACAGAAAGTTTGAGGCTTGCATCCAAAAATAGGAAGAATCGTCCAAAGTACACAGTTGACTTTAAACAGCACACTACTTTCTCTGTGGGCAGGCAGTGGCGGCTACAGAAGCAGCAGATTCCTGTTCGTTTGCAGTAGGAACCCGTCGTTACGTTACGTTACACTCTTTGCGTGAGGTATGTTTTTTCCGAAGGCAACAAATTTTTTAGCAATTCATCGACGCGTTCTGGACGTGTCTGTTAACCATTTCAACTTTATTTAAAGTTTTGGTTTAATTTTTGGTGACAAGATAACTAAAATTAAATGGTAATAATGATATTAAAGACATGTTTGCCCGTTCAAACTTCTAGATATACCGTTTTATATAAACAGCTCTTTAGATGATATAATACAAACATGACAATGTGACGCAGTGAAACGTAAACCGAATACATAAACCTTTGGCCTATAAATAATAGTGCCATTCATACTACAGGAATCAAAACTCTGAGCAGGCAGAGAGTCTCAGTATCTTCTAGCCATACACAGAATGGATTCCGGTGATTCATCATATGTCCTTTCAAACGAAATGAAAAATCATAGCAAAAACTCGCTGTGCCAGCTCTGTCGCAAAGAAGGGAGCAATAACTTGAAGGTACTCAACTGTTTACACCAGTTTTGTGAAGCGTGTCTTAAGAAGTTTCTGGTTGAAAACTCCGTGATCTGTGCTCACTGCGGCAAGGGAATGCAGCTTGGTGATAAAGGAATAGATGCGTTACCATCTCACGTCTTCTACGACCAAGTTAAAGACATCAAAAACTGTGATGAATGGATACAACAGCGTCGGCGCGCGTTCTGTTGGGAAATGTAAACAAGGAGATTCTGAATGAAATAACGACAAACTATGTAAATTTTTATCGGTTTCGCAGGAAGCTGAGAGAGAACGAGAAATGACAGGAATGTTGGGCAGAAGCCAAAGGAAATGTGACACAAAATTTGTATTTTCAAATAAGAAGTGA